GGGCCAGGTAGTGCATGTAGTGCGCGCAGACAAGGTAACTAGACATGTCAGTCACCGAGCCCATTCCCCGCACCAGCCAACTGACCGGCCCATATAGTGATGGGGGCCTGGGAATGGGAAGGGAGAGTGAGGTTGACGACTCAGCGCACTTACCTTACTACAAACAATCTGACGCGCTTGAAGATATCACGGTGCGCTAAAAGCCGTGGTTCGGAAGGTTGCCAACTGACGGGATAACTTGGACCTCGCAGTCGGCCCGGTGTTGTGCATTTGTGTAGAGCGACCGGCTGGTGGTCTACGAGTCAGGGTGCAATCGCTCCTAGAGAATGCGGCCTTTACAGCACTCCCACTCAGTGGGATCCGAGCCAGGTGTGACGGCACGCCTAGGTGCGGCTTCGGCCGTGCCAGCCACCCTTTTGTTGTTGGTTAAAAACCTAGTCACTTGCTGTGTGGACCAGAGAGTATGGAGTGGAACGCCAAGGTGCGGACTTGACCGTGTCATCCACCTGCGCCCTCTCCCGCCTTCGGGCTCCTTAAATCCGAAGAGAGAGTGCGGTAGATGCAGCACAAGTCTGCACTCACTATAAACTAAATCACGCGTAAACCTCCGTGCCTGTTTTACCTTGCTGTAGAACATATGGTGGAAATTGTCGCCAACGACGATCGAAATGTCGATCCCTGTTCGGGCTTAATACTTGCGTTCCATTGGTGCCTCTCTGAACACTAGTTTTTAGGTAACCACAACTTTTGCAACGCACCAGGACGCCACCTTGGTTTCCTCATCCTCCTCCATTCCGGAAGGTGGTACGTTCGGAAAAGATCGAAACAAGTCTGTCCTTCAAGACCTACCTCCCGAATTTTTTCGGCGTCCATCTTGCTGCCTTAATGCTGACCATCCTTCGTTTTGGTGATATTAATGTCAATCAATGCATTATGGCACTCCCACTTCGTGGGATCCGAGCCAGGTGTGACGGGATGCCTGGGTGCGGCTTCGGCCACGCCAGCCCCTTCTGTTTTTGTTGGTTAGAATCCTGGTCATTTGCTGTGTGGGCCAGGGGATGCGGAGTGGACCACAAGGTGCGGACTCGACTGTACCATCCACCTGCTCCATCCCCCACCTGCAGTCTTTTTGACTATGTTCTGACACCGGATTTATGTGGCGGAGGTGGAGAGAGTGCGGTGGACGATGTGCATGTCTGCATTCACTGTAAACTAATTCACTCTCAAGTCACCGTGCTTACTTCACCTTTTTATGGGGCACACCGTGGACATCGACGACAACAACGGTCGAACTGTTAAGAAGAAGCCATTGCAGTCTTACTTTCAGTCCACCAGTCAGTCGTTCAGCGCAAACAAACAACTAGGCTAACTACATGACCTGAGTTGAAGCGTCAGTTGCTTCCGTCCAAGCGACAGCTTTTAGTCACCGTGATATTCGTAGCGCGTCAGATCGTTTATAGTGAGAAATGAAGCGCTGGAAGTTGGTTGCCGTTGTGGTGCTGCCGGTGGTGGTCGCGCCTTCTGAAGGGGGGCGATTGGGCTGGGGATGGCAAAGTTGGTGAATGTGCAAGGTGTCTTGGGCATGCCAGTATTGCGATGGATCCCGCTGTTGTCGGTACGCCTGTGACCGAGTGGGCCTATGCTACGAATGAATGTGCGAGGACAGTGTGGACGGTGAATGCGGATGCGATGGATATATGTCGGGTGGTTCTGGCACTGATGCACTGGTATGGATACGATGGATTCGGAAATGACCAACGAGGCCTGTGTGTGAGTTGAATATGCGGTCGCAATGAGGACAAGTTGGGTCTGAGTCCACATCGCTGGATGTGATGGTGGCGACTGACGGGGTGTCGAGATGTTCTCATACGTGGCGGGAGTGGGGAGGCGATGATCGTCGTCGCCGCCGCGGAGGTTGTGGCAAGGATTAGTTTGATGGTGATGATCGATGGCGGCGGGGCATCCGCATTGTGATCGCCGGTTGCGGTGGTTGCCGTCGTCGTCGATGCCGTGGGGATTTTAGCAGTTGCAGTTGGGAAAGCAACAATTGAGTTTTTCGGTTTGTTTCTCCATTGGGTTCAGAGATGTCTGGTGAGGACGACCCGCGCGGAGTGTCCGTTGGCAGCCCGCACATCTTGAGAGAGGTTAGATGTTGGCGTTGCAGATCACGGGCGCCTGCGACTCGCAAGCCACTCCTCTGACTTTGGCGGCGGCGATCCGATTCGCATCATGGATTGCTGCTCCAGTCTTCACTGCTCTTCTCTAGTCTGCTCGGTCCAGTAAGGGGTCTTCCCACGTCTTCGGATTGATTTGTGGTCGCTCGGGGGAATTCTTCAAGGTTTCCTTGTAGCGGCAGGTTGGACCTCCTTGTCGGCGAGCACTCGTAGTGACATATCTGTCCATGAGCCTTTTTGGAAGTCGCTCATCGTCCAACCTCACGAAGCGGCCGCTTCATTGCAGTTACAGTTGCCTCAGCATAGCATAGACGCTGGGGATTGCAGTCCGTTCAAAGACCCTTGTGTCCGGGATCCTGTCCTGCCACCCCAGCTTTACTCTCCGCCGAAGGCAGTCGAGGTGGTAGGGATTGAGTTTCCGCGTTTGTTCCTTTCCGACTATCCAGCTCTCCACATCATACAACGGTTGACATCACGCATAGGAGAACCGTCTTCCTGAATGACGTGAAACTGTTACCGCCCTCTAAGCAGACACATATTTGAAGTTTGGACATCTGACCAGTTACTTTGTGATCCCCATGTCAGCTGACATTTCCACACGCGAAAGATATCTGCTTATTTAAAGAATGCAAACTTCATGTACTAACTATTAAATCTTTGGCTAATTCTATGAAATAGACCGCCTCATATGAATGAGCTGTCATCAGCAGGGAGCAATGTGCAAAGCCAAGCCTTAATTAAGTATAAAAATATGGTCAGTATTCATATCTGAACCAAAAATATCACTTTTCGGCCATGCGTTTATTTCTGAGGTGTCAGCAGACAAATATAAAACTACAAAATAAGGCAGCGCACATATTCAAATAGGTTTCGAGTCACAGTTTATGCCTAATTAGAAATTTTTTTATGGTTGGTCTGTTATGTTGCGGACGCACGAGCATTGGCTGGCGATTACGAGGGGAGATTTTAACCCTCACTTCACTATGCAGAACGTTGGGCGCAGTATCTACTTAACAGCTGAAAAAACCAGCGAAATAATCTACAATAGTTTCCCAGCCTGTTTTCAATAAGGTTATTGCGGTTTTCCAGAGGATAGGATTGATGCGTGACTGGAAAGCGTGTTAACCTCTTGCAACGCGGGCTAGATGTCCAATCATACGCGAGTGATTGAACCTCCTTACGACACAGGTATTCCATGTGTTCTTTGAAGTGACGTTCAGACAGAGGCATTTCGAAAGGTGATATGGTGACAAACATGATTCAGTCATTTAAAGCAAGGCTAAGTTGCCATGCGTAAATCCTGAAAAACCGTCAACAACGAATAATTTTTAGTTGTGATATTTTTGCGCCTGAGCTCGTGATAGGGTGACGTAGAATTATCAGAATAAGTGTAGCATGACCAGCTGTGCGAAGTAAATTTAAGGATGTGTATGCTCTTTGCAAACCAGCAGTTGACTCCTGGTTTACACTGAAATCATATTTGAAAAATTTAGCAAATATCTCATTAGGTTGCTTCCAGAACTGGTGCAAGCTGAGTTTTATCGTGCCTCCTGAAGCAGTAAGAATTCCATTCGGTAGTGAATATATCAGTTTGCAATGGCAGGGGGCGCTCACCGATCGTTCATGCGGAACTCACTCGTTACGTTTTGCCTTAAGGGCTCTCTCTCGAGCCCAACCAGCAGCCGCACAGCGGCGGTAAGACCATTCTGTCTATATCATGCGCCGCTGTGCGGCTGCTGGTTGGGCTCGAGAGAGAGCCCTTAAGGCACAACGTAACGAGTGAGTTCCGCATGAACGATCGGTGAGCGCCCCCTATCATTATATATACATATATAGGCAGAATAGCATTATCAACGAAGATAAGGGGAGACTGGAATGGCCATTTCTGGCTTATTAGCCGTTATCAGCTAATCACACCCAACCCCGAAGTCTGGAACACCCGAGACTCGAACTCGCGACCTGTTAGTTAGAAGTCTACGTCACTAACCACTGAGCTACGGGCTCGTTGTCCTGTCGGTTGCGTGTCGGGAATATATAATGGTAGAGAGGCGCTAATGACTGTGTTACGGAACTCACTGGTTCCGTTGTGCCTTGGGGCTCTTTCTCTCTCTCGAGGGAAAATGTCGGAATATAGTACACCCTCAGATGGTTGAAACCTCACTGCTAGCCCCCTTAAGCCTAGAAGACAATGCTTCCTGTCCGTGTCTAAGATATGATGCACACTATGGACAGGAAACGATATCGAGCGAATAAGAGGTTATAGCAACGCACATAATGAGCCTGCAAAATATCCGACTCTATCCTAACACACCTATTAAATTGACCATAAGTACATAAACTTGTTGAAAGTTAGGGAGGGCCATGTGGAGAAGAACTGAAGAACTGAGGCCTCAGGGAGATATCGATGACTTTCGTTTCGAGATTACATTTAACACCACGTAAGCCGAATATACTTCCCGTAGAGAAGTCTACCATTACTTGACCTTACCCGTTTATATGATTTCGCGGGATTTTATGGTGTTTTATTTAGTTGTTTTTTGGTTTAAAATGAGAAAGAAAGACGTGATTTGCTAAGTGTGTGGTTGTATGTGCGGATTCTGTCGCCTTTACCTAGTAGTGCATTCTGCGGAAGGGGTGGCCAAAGTCATGATGATTGACAAATCGGCCATAGTGTCTGTCCAGTTCGTACTCAGGGAAGTCGTAGTCATCATACAGGCCTCCATAATGTTCTTCAGGCTCATACCCACCGTAATAGGGGTAGTAATCGTCCTCATATGGGAAGTCATAGTCAGCCCAGTGATCGTGGTAGAAGCGTTGGTCCGGATAGTAGAAGTCATCAAAGTCATAGTCCGGGTACTGGGAGTCATCGAAGTAGGGCTCGTAATAGTAATCATAGCCCCGATCGAAATCATCATAGTCGAAGTCGAACTCCATCCGTGGTCTGTGAGCTCGGCGTGAAGCCTCATGCGTCAAGTCGCGGAAACCGCCTCCGAAGTGTGAGTATTTATCGTGTCGGCGACGATGGTCGTAGCCCTCCCTGAAGCCAAAGTCTCCGAAGTCCTCATCACCGGACATTCCAAAGGGACCGCTGCCGTAACTCATGCTAGCCTTCGCGACGAGAGATTTCTTGCCTCCAGACTTGGATCCTCGTGCCTTTGAGAGATAACCGCGGCCGAAGGACTTGTGTGAGTCCATGTTCGCCTTCCTGTCGAACAGCACGATAGCTCCCTCCTTCGTCTCAGCATCGTGGTCCTGGTTCCAGTCATGAAAGTGCTTGCTATAACTGGGCTGTCTGGTCTTCTTTTCGACTTCCTGACCGTGGCTGCCGCCGCTGTTGCTGCTGCGAAGGCTGTGGCTGGCGAAGCCATCGGAGAGCTTCTTCCATCTCCACTTGTCGACATCCAAGTGCTCGTGGCTCGGATACCCAGCGGCAACGGCCACTAGTGCACAGACGAGGCCGAACAACGGGAGAAACCTCATTGTCAACGGAGTATCAGTCGGATGTAGGCGGGTAGCGGCAATTTATGCTGTTTCACAGAGGCGAGAGGTCACGCGTGCAAGAGGTTGCACAGAGTGCACAGCCAGTACGCAGAACTAAGTTCGCAGTTGGAGTGCAGAGACAGCTTCCTCAAATGGACATGCAGACACGACAATACATAGGATTTCGATAGGAACACTGGACTGCAAACATACTGTTGGGCACTGCCTTCTGTCAAAGAAACCGAAAAGTGTCGCCTGCAGCTGTGAAAGCCTTTTTCAGTACTTTAGTTCTTGAAAAGTTATTTCCACGAGTTTCGGGGCTTCTATGCATAGTACATGCGTAGTACAAATAAACATTAACAGGCAGTATACTCGATAAACACGAAGTGGCTACCATACAGCAAAATTTAAGGAAAGTCATACGGCGAGGACAGAGGACGAGTTCTTATACACCGGAAGCTGCAAAACAACCAAACTAGGATTGTTCTGGCGTGGGGCTATTTAATGCTTTAAAGAAACCATCCTAAAATACCGAATTTGCTTTTATGACAGAAATTCGACGACTTCCACTGTTTAGCGTGCTTACCGGCATAAAATGCATAATTTCTGTCTCAACGTATGGACGAAGAAATAATATCTCTTCTTTCCAGAGAAATAGTAGCTCGGGTCAAAATCACCGGTGTAAGCTTAGCGGTGGTAAAAACGTTGCTTTCTCTATGAAAGAGTCCAGATAGCAAGGGCTATATAGAACCCCTGTAACGGCGGATGGTGTTTCGATTGACCAAGCGTGCACTATGAGGTAAAAATAACGAGCAGGTGTCTGCAGAAGCGTTTCGCTGCCATTACTAGAGCTTGGTATAGGGGCTTGTGATGGAAACTCGTGTTTTGTCTGTTCTTGTGACTCAATCACCGCCTTGCTTTTTGGGATGTATGTTACGCGTCACCTCATGCACTGGCTGCATCAAAAGCGCAGTAGAATGGTTGTAAAGTAAAACTTATGTCCCAAGTTGACCGTATTTGGTTAATGTTAAACCACTTTTCAGTAAGAACTAGCCAATTTTAGTAAAGACACACGGACACGGATTGCTTCAACTTTCGTTCCGTTTGAGTTAACTTGTTTTTCATAGAAGCTAATGTAACTTATATTCCGTAGATCCAAGTTGCCACAACTAAGAGATGAGGGGCGGATATTTTGTCCTAGAAATAACTCATGATAAGCGATATTTGTGAAACCAAATGGGAGGGCAAGATCCGAGGCAAGGACTCAAGCCATCTGATCGGAGGGAATGCAATAAGGTCAAGCAGTTTAGCATGTGGAACTTGGCCCACTCGCTGTTCCGCGACAATTTTGCTAAAAATGTGACTGACTTGCCAGCTGAAGCACGCCGGTGCTGATTACCTTTACAACCAGAATAGGGTTCCAATAGGCAGGAAGAGATAAACAGAATACTTACAATATTCTTATGCTCGGGAAGGTTAAAACGTCTGTGTTCATTATTGCACAATCTGTGCTCAAGAATGCATTCAGCGTTCGGTTTTTGCTGCTCGTATTCATGTTAAGCAAATAGGCTGATTGATTCACTCGCATCGGCACGTTGACCCTAATTCAGAAAGGTTATCTGTCAGATAAAATAATATTAGAAGAAAGTTTTTGTCTAATTATCAAGCGTCATTCTGTAGTATTCGGTGCATGCATATCCGGGCAGCTTTCATTTTACGAAGTAATAAGTGAAAAAAAACCCGCAAATTAACTTTGCATGAACAGTTGCCCTCTTGATTTCTGGTTGGGAAAGAACAGAATATTTGATTTTGACAAGTTTCAGACCTAAACGTGTGCTTCAGTAACTGCGCACACAACCATCTACAAAGGCTATATCTACGTTAAATACCTGTTAATTTTTTTCAGAATTGGTGTAGGCTTTAGGCCGGTAGGTACGGGAGATGCACCATACCACCCAATTTCGAAATAGCCACCCCTGAAACGGGTAACACTTCAAATGAATCTTTTTATGAGATCTCCAACCTCTAAGAGACTTGAACAGAAACATAACGTAGAAGCCAGCGTGCAAAGCAGAATTTCTTGGTACCGACAAATTGCGCGACGGCTCATCAGTTACGTTCTGTCGCTTTGTAACATGAATAACGAGCGAGAAGAATACAGCAGTTTGAATTCGTGTAGAAAATCAATGCAAAACAGTAAGGTCATGGTTTATGGTAATGCACCATTGAAAGGACATACAATGCGTTCGAACTCATATTATGCAGTTCAATTCCGCGGGCGAAGGATGCCTTGCAAATGCGTGCCACTTCACGTTGTGCATATGGATTTACATGCATATGCGGGTGCAAGTACATTGGGCAAACGCAAAGGCAGTTGACATCTAGCTCTATTGAGCACACGCCCAAATGGCCCCTAAAGCAAGAAAATAAGACCCCGCGTTCCTTCATTACTAAACACCTGCTTGATAGTGCTCACTCTGTTGACCCTAAAACATCTTCCCGAGTACTTGTCCAGGCACGAAAAATTCGAGCATTGCGTTACTTGGAGGCGGTGGCTGAAATCAGGCCTATGTAAACGGTTGGAAGATGTGATCAGCCCAATTTTGCCATGATAACCTCTAGCTCCCTGGTTTTCACACCTCCTTTATCTTTTTAATCGTGAACATTTTCCCACTATCCTTCTCGTATCGTGTTTAAGTTACTGATTTTATTGATTGGCCTGCACTACCCTAAACCATGACCCTACTGTTTTACATTGATTTTCTATTCGAATTCGAACTGCTGTATTCTTCTCACGCGTTATTTATGTCATGAAGCGACAGGGCGCAGTTGACGAGCCGTCGCGCAACTTGTTGGTACCAATCAATTCCGCTTTGCACGCTTGCTTCAAACTCGTGCCGGGAAAAAATGCTTCAAATTTCAGAAACATGGCAATCACGTTATCGAAAAATGCAACGTGGCTGAGGTCATCAAATTTTTCGCAGTCCTACTGACGATGCGAAAGTTAAAATTAGCATGCCAGTGGGAATGCGAAAAAACTGTCGCCTTCAGTTAGATAAATTATTTTTTTAAGAATACCGGGACAGGACATAGCATTAGGTCTAGCATTTACGTACTTTCAGGTTTAAAGCATAGTTTGCTTCTATTTAATATGCAACAGGGCAAATGGAATGCCATAGATGTCGTAAAATGGGTGACCGGTAACCACTATAACAAACTTTAGTCAAAGGTACAAATCACTGAAGACATTTTACTGTGTTTCACTACCATCTATGTTAGGCCCGTCGGAAAACCTTCATGACGAGAGCTGTCCACAGTTTTTCCCCGACCAGTTCCGACGACTCACCTTAGATTCTTAAGATTTTCTGCGTATTTCACTTAAATGCAAGGAAGGGGATTTTCGCACTCGTTCACGTAGGAGAGTGCACATCCGCCGGAGGACATGGCATCCTCGGGAGAGAACCGGAACACGCTTTCTAAACCAGCCCCACCTCCAGCTGTTTCTTAAAACAGGCGTTACCGTCTTAACCCTGATAAAGACTTCTGCGTGGTTTATTCGGTGCTGGATGATTGCCGAGTGCCGGCATTAAAAGCCCAAAACTTTTCGACTGGTCACCGAGGGATGTCATTCGCTGATTAGCCATTGGTTGCTGGACAACACATGGCGGTCTAATTTCAACTTGCAGCTCCACTTTTCAGTCTTCACAGGCGCCAACGCAGCGACGGAAAAATCCGTAAATACGATGCATTAAATACACAAACGAGAGGGCAACGTAGCTCTTTTGCCTTATTGTCCCTTGCCAGGCATAGGTATAAATACCTTAGGACTAGACAGATCAGAGGTTTGAACCTGGTCTGATTTGCTTGTTGAACCAGCTCGCCATAACTGAGCCATGATCTCACGGCTTACCGGTGGCGGTATGGACCTATTCTAAAGGATAGACGGTATATGAGCGTTGCGGTTTGATTTGGAGCACCGGGGTCAGAGTCAAAACCGGTAATTTCTCTATGCCGTGACTGAACGATGACAAATGAGTCTGAAAGGGTCATACCCTCGACTCCTGTTTGTGCCGGCGCTGCACTGAAATGTAACAATTATTGCGAAAAAATACTGCCGTCCTAATAAGCCAGCATTTCGATTTACGCATCTCCCCTGAGAGGTGACGTGTCTAAAATACTGCAGCCATCATTCCATTAAAAGCGCTGAAGTCTCGGATTTACGAGTATTTACTTAATCGGACTTACCACTGAATTCTTCCTGTTTACACTAGGGACCAGCTCGCTTGTTCAGCATGGCAAGGAAATTCGTTCTCTTGCGACAGAAGTCGAATTTATGTGAGGATAATGCACCGGTTTGTAGCGATCCAATGAGGTTCTCTTTGAAAATACACTTTAAGCTTTAGCCCTCGTACATGTCGCAAAAATTAGCTTACATTCTTTTTAAACACTTCCATTCTTTCGACGTAGCAGGACACACGGCAAATGCGTTGGACAAACCCAGGGGCTAGACCGAAGTCCAACAGGCGTTGTCAGGATTGCGAAGCCGCAAAAATGCCTACATTGGGAGTAAGGTGGCAGGCCCAGTTGTCGATTCAAGCCACGCCAGCTAGGATCTGTGAAGCCTCTATTTTTTTGCATTGTAAGATACTGGTAAGTGGATCTAGGATGTGGTGGTACGCCTAGGCGCGACTTTTCGTAATGCCAATCACCAACGTCCTCTCCCGCCTCCGATTTTCTTGACTCTGTCTTAACAGCTAGTCCAGATTGAGGGAGTAGAGGGTGCGGTAGATGCTGCGCAAGTTTGCTATCACTTTGAACTAATTTATGCACTAGTCGTCGTCCCCGATTCCAGCTTGCTGTGGGGACTGCGGTGGATATCGGCGGTAACGACGGTCGAACTGTCGGGAGCAATTTCAATACCGCTTTTGAAGAATGCATCGGCAGATGAAATCAGTTTTGATTCACTTGAGGCTATGGTTGTGACGTTAGAGTGCAAAGAT